CTGATTTTTAGCAGCATCTGCAAGTGCAGCATGCGGTATTTTTACTTAGGATGTTACCTTCACTTCTCTGCAGCACGCACTCTTTTCTTAATGTATGACTTACATGCACCAAAGCATTACCTAATCCAGGATAATTAGAAGAAGATTTTGGAGAAGGGAGTTTGAGCTTTGAAAATCTGCAAAATAGTTCCAGCATACTTATATCCAAATTCTTCAAAACACTCGAAGACTTGATCTTAACGATAGCTAATAACTTTGTTTTCTTTCATGTATAGTGTTTTCTTTTTCTGTGCACATTCTAAAAATATCTAAAGATCTAGGGCTTTAAAAAATGTTTGTAATGTTTTTGATCTCTTCCAGAATATGTTATTCTATTTTTGGTTGTAAAGTCTTGGTTAGAGTGTACAAAAATCTTTACCTGTGCAAGCAAAGTACATTATTGCACAGCAGAGACAACGAAAAGGACTTCTGTGGAATGTAAATGAGAAGAGACGAATTAGCAATTCTTAGAAGAACAAAATGTGAGCACAGTTATTTAATCAGTGCTTTGGAGCAGTAGGAGATGTGGTTAGGTAAAGACAACTCACTGGCAGCAGACACAGTGTGTGCTGCTGTCACCTAAGCATGATGATGAGCAGTGATGAGGGACAAGCGGAACTCCTTCATTCCCCTTTGCTTTGCAGAGGCTGGAGCTGCTGTGCAACTTATCTCTACCTGTCCCGATGCTTAATTTCTTATCCACATAGCTCTTCAGCTAAAGAAAAGATTAGAATAATGAAAACTTTTATAAGACCCTCCTCATTTCATTTTTAAATAGCTGCACATTTATATACAGCATAGTATACAGCATAGTATACACAGTATGGGTAGGTACGTCATCATGTATATTAATAACGACTTCAAGTTATAAGGAAGAAAAACTCTTTCAAGTTTCACCCAAAAACATCTTAGACATTCCTTGTAGAAGGTGGCCTGGGTCAAACTGTTGACCCTTCTTCTCCATTCCCTCATCATTTTCTAATAACGGTACGTGCTGCAAAGGTTAAGAGCCTGCAGCAGGTCCCAGGCACTGAAGTCCCTCTCCCCACCTCTAAAGGAGCCCTCTCCTACTGGCTCACATAGCGGAAATGGCAGCTTCTTTATTGGAATGAGTAAGGCATTAATATTATTCTCAAGAAGACAAGTATGCTGACCAGGACAACTGCTCCTCATCCAACAGCGGCAGATGTGGAAGACTCAGTGTCTCTGATGCAGTCGTATCCTCCAGCTTGGGAGAAAAAAGAGAAATATACACTGTTGGATCAACAAAAGGCAAGAAATGTGCTTCCTCTCTTCGTAAAGTCCTTCCAGATGGTAAGGCTTGATGTGTTGTCCCAGCAACAACTCCTGTGATGGCAGCTACATCAAAGAGCTCATAGGCAGGGAAAGCCAAATAGCATCTCCCCTGTAATGAACTTCAGAATTCAGGAATGATGGAGGGGTCAACAGCAGCCCATGCACCAAACAGCAGCAGCTTCAGAACTGCAGAGCAGTCCAGCTCAGGGCCACATTAATAACATTTTCCACCATGGCAGAGTCTATGTCCCCCTGCTGCAGAGCACTGAGGGCTTCAGTGGGACTGTTCAAACACTTACAGTCACACAGATGATGAAGTGCTGCGTTGGAGTAGGGCCCAGCGGTCTCCAGGCATGCGTTCCAGGGAAGGTGGCTGGGTGTTAAATCCTTATCTTGGAGATGTTTGCACGTGGGATGGCGCAGTGGAGAGCTTGCAGGTGGCAGCAGACATCTCTGGATCCAGTCCTCCTCCTGCTGGGGAGCTGAGTGTGGGGGCATGGCAGTCCTTGAAATTGGTTTCTAAATCACAGGTCGAATACTTTTTTCTAAGTACTTAATTTCTTTCTGGAGAAATAACAACTCTTTAATACCACTCTGTCTTGCCCTCCTTATTCTTCTTGAAATGCTGCCAACATGAGCCCGGTTTCTGCAGGCCTTAAAGGTCCTGAACATGGCAGTTCTTGGCTCAGGCACTGGTGACTTCTGTGTGCTTTATGGGGAAGCCTGGCACAAACAGATGTCTGAGGAGATCCGAGGGTCCATTGGTCCCTTAGGTAAAGCCATGCTTAGGACATATGAATTTGGGTTTTTTTTTGTATTTCCATTCCTCTGGTGCCTAGCAGTGAATGAAGATGGCCCTCTGCAATTCTGCATCTATGGAAGGGGCCTGGGACTTGCTGTGGCTGGGCAGAGAGGGAAGCTCTTACCTACTGGTGTCCTGCAGCACTTCCTTTCAAGACCAAGAAAGATGGGTTAGATATGCTCAGCCTAGACTGCACGGTGCAGCTGTATCTCACTTGAGCAGTGAGACTGAGAGCACTGAGGTGGTCAGCTCTTAGCAAAAGGCAAGTAGATACTCTATGTTGTATAAACCATGAGTGTCTCCCACTCACAGATACTAGGGAAAAGGATCTGAGGATGAAGACTGCTGGATCCCCTGAGGCAATGTAGCAGTGTCATCCTGATTGCAAAGCAGGTTGACCATCCCATGACATTTTTACAGGACTGCTGATAAGGAGCCCAAAGATGGATCCTAGCAGAGCACTAACATGCTGATCAGTAGGGAGGAGAAGCAGCTTGGTTGTCTTCCTGCCTTACTAGGGGCTTTTGGAGGGATGTGGTCAGATCAGTCTCATCTCCTGCACATGTGCAGTACTAGTACTGATCCAGGACTCCTGGAGGTGTTGTGCATAACTCAGACCCCATTGTACTTCTGTTCTCATGTTACTGCCCAAATGTATGGGGGTTCAGGGGAGCCCTCGTACCACAAATAATCGCTGTAGGGTTTCACCAATGCAGTGGCTTTCCCCAGAGTGTGAGACAGTGCACGTATTGCCAGCATTACCGCACAGAGATGGCTTTTTGGTATTCTCCGAATGCTTTCTTGGTTTACTGTGACTTCAAAACCGTCCTCCAGGCAGATGCTGCCAGAAGCCATCCCTGATAACAGGCCTGGGATGATTTCCACTGGCTTTAACAGAGCGTGAAGGAGGTGGATCAATCTCACATGGAGCGACTTGCATCTTCCCACAGCTCAGTGAGCAGACTGGATGCCAGACAAAACAATCCCTTTCTTTCCTTCTCCTTTGCCATTGTTTCCATAAATACGCTCAACACAGAGTAATATGTGAAAAATAGCTGGTGATCCTTCACATGGAGAAATGTTACAATTATCCTATGATGTTCCCAGGCAGCTGAGCTGTCCTGACATGGGACAGTCCCAGCAGTCTGGCTTTTGCAAAGGCTGTGACTGGCAAGAAGCAAACAAGCTTGGCTTTCATCGCTGCGTGCAAGACAGCCAGGGGTGCAGTGGAGGAGATCCAGAGCTTCAGCCTGGAAACAGCCCCCCGGGAGCTGTCCTTCCCCCTCTGCTCTCCACTGAGTTGCAGCTGAATGGCAGTAAAAAAAAAGAACAGGCATTTCATCACATGTCCGCAAACTAATCTTGCCTTTGTACATTTTTTGGGATGAATGTGGTAAAAGCCAATGCTTCTCGCTTTTTGTTTAAATTAGGACGTGATCTTGTATAATAATGACACAGGGATGTCTGCAGAATGCCTTGCCTTGCCTTTGGTCTATTTGCACATTTTCAGGGGGAAAATATAGAGGATGCTGGTCCTGCCAGATATTTAGTGTTGAAGTAAATGTCCCCAGTCAGCAGCTAGATGTTGAAGGTCTGTTGTTAGCTTTGATGAGACAGGGTTGATCTTATGGTTCCCTGGGGAAGCTGCTGTCAGCGTAACCTTACCCGGGCAGTCCTGGGCAGGCATCTTTTAAATGTCTATTATTAAACATCCTTCTTTATTGTGGCTTTCTTTTATTTTATAGAATCATTGAATGATTTTGTAAACCTTTTTATTTCATCTGGGATCAGTTTCCTCTAGCAATTAAAGAGAAATACTGATACTGTGGTGTTGGTAGGAGTATTGGTAGGAGACACCTGCAGATTTACAGTGCTTGAATGCTGAATTTGCTCCTCTGTTATGGCACTGACCCTTTAGTATTGCACAGCTGTTGCAAATGGTCATCTCTTGAGTGTCATTTGGTTGGATGGACACTCAGTAGTGGTGATGTTACAGTCATTGGTGGGGTCCCAGCCTTGGTACTGCCAAGATCAGTTCTGCAATTTAATGCATTTAAATTTAATGCATATAATGCATTTAATGCATTTATTCATTTAATACATATGAATATTTTCTTTATAAAATGTGGGTCTCTGTTTCCTGGCTGTCCTTGTTCCTAAATGTCGTTCCTATGTATCTCCATTAGGTTGACAGTGACACAATTTGGAATGAAGTTCACTCATCCGGTGCCGCTCGCCTAGCCGTGGGCTGTGTCATTGAGCTCGTTTTCAAAGTAGCCACGGGAGAACTGAAGGTTGGTATGAAAATAACACTTGGCTTTGATATAGGCTCTGTACAGGACTCGGCTCAGGGCTGTGTTACGCAGGAGGTCCAGTTAGTTTCATTTTAATGGCACCATCTGGCTTTAGTCATAAAAATCTTTGAGGATATCAGCAAGTGAACAACAGACTCCTGGTGAATGTTCTTACACACCAATTAAAAGGAAGAAAGAAACCAGAGCAGCAAATGAAATCACTATTCCCGTGTTATCTGAGGGTCTTGCTGTTGCCTTCAGCTGGGCCAGCCCATTTGCCATTTCAGTGACATCATGCAGAATATCTTTTTTTTTCCCCTGAATGGAAGGAAATACTGTACCAACCAGTTTCTGTAAAATTCATGTGGACCTTTTTCCCTCCCTCCAAAACAAGGGAGAGCATCATCCACTGCTGTGGTCTTGTGAGAAAAACATCAAGAATAACTACATAGTTCCAAAGCAGAACTAACACTTCTGGCTGCAACCTCTGCATCTGTCTTTGTGCAATAAACCTTCCTTTCTGTCTCACTTCTTCATTTTCTTATTTTTTGTGTGTAGAATGGATTTGCTGTTGTTCGGCCTCCAGGTCACCACGCAGAAGAGAGCACACCCATGTAAGTATGCGTATGTGCTTTATCAGCTTGCTTCAGTGTTCATCTGTTGTGTGATCATAGCAGCTGGAAATTAGAAAGGTAGTTAGTTTAATATTGCAGAATTTCTTGCTTATTGATATGCAAGAGAGTATTATATTCAAAATTCACATTAATTCTCTGGAAGAGGGCAAGATCCTGCTTAGTGGTTTTGGGTGGGTATTTTTTAGCAAGAATCAGCATTACAGTCATGCTTTGAACAAGCCTGATGCTTTTATTTGCTTTACTCTTGTGAATTGTTTTAAATTAAATGTTCATGGCTCATCCAATGTGAGGAAAGCAAGGGTACCCAACTAATAGCAGTAATAGCAAACATAACTCTGTCATGGGGTCACAACACTGAATTAGGAGAGTGTCTGAGTGGGAAGGCTTTGCAAAGCGAAAGCTGAAGTCGGGCATCTTGCATGTGTTTAACATAGCAGGAGTTTTGCCATCGGAATGTTTTCAAATCAGGGCCCCATGCATAAATCATGTTGGCTTTGTGTATCTGGCTTAATGTGCAGGAGTTTCGTTGTCTTGGGTGCTTCAGCACTCTTTAGTGGGAGATAGAATCATAGAATTGTTTGGTTGGAAAAGACCTTTAAGATCATCAAGTCCAACTGTTAACGTAGCACTGCCAAGTCCACCACTAAACCATGTCTCTAAGCACCACATCTACATGTCTTTTAAATACCTCCAGGGATGGGGACTCAACCACTTCCCTGGGCAGCCTGTTCCAATGCTTGACACCCCTTTTGGTGAAGAAATTTTTCCTAATATCCAATCTAAACCTCCCCTGGTGCAACTGGAGGCCATTTCCTCTTGTCCTATTGCTTGTTTCTTGGGAAAAGACACCCACCTCGCTACAACCTCCTGTCTGGTAGTTGTAGAGAGCAGTAAGGTCTCCCCTCAGCCTCCTTTTCTCCAGGCTAAACAGTCCCAGTTCCCTCAGCCGCTCCTTGTAAGACTTGTTCTCTAGACCCTTCACCAGCTTTGTTGCCTTTCTCTGGACATGCTCCGGCGTCTCAATGTCCTTCTTGTATTTTTAATAGTGCCAAGTACAGGGGGACAATCCCTTCCCTAGTCCTGCTGGCCACACTATTTCTGATACAAGCCAGGATGCTATTGGCCTTCTTGGCCACCTGGACACACTGCCAGCTTGTATTCAACTGGCTGTCGACCAGCACCCCCAGGTCCTTTTCTGCCAGGCAGCTTTCCAGCCACTCTTCCCCAAGCCTGTAGCATTACATGAAGTTGTTGTGACCGAAGTGCAGGACCCGGCACTTGGCCTTGTTGAATCTCATATAGTTGACCTCAGCCCATCAATCCAGCCCAGCCTGTCCAGATCCCTCTGTAGAACCATCCTACCCTCAAGCAGATCAACACTCACACCCAAATTCGTGTCGTCTGCAAACTTACTGAGGGTGCACTCAATCCCCTCATCCAGATCACTGATATTAAACAGAACAGGCCCCAGTACTGAGCCCTGGGGAACACTACTGGTGACTGGCTGCCAACTGGATTTAACTGCATTCATCACAATTCTTTGGGTCAGGCCATCCAGCCAGTTTTTAACCCAGAGAAGTGTTTGCCCATCTAAGCTATGAGCAGCCAGTTTCTCCAGGAGAATGCTGTGGGAGACGGTGTCAAAGGCTTTACTGAAGTCTAGGTAGACAACATCCACAGCCTTGCCCTCATCCACTAAGCGGGTCACCTTCTCATAGAATGAGATCAAGTTAGTCAATAGCAGATGAGTGCTTGCTGTTGAGTTCCCTTAGACCCAGCATTTTGAGGCCTCTCTGAGCATGTCCGCTCCCTCCCAGCCAATGCAATGTAGTGCTCCAGCCCTTGGTCCTTCCTCTTCCTTTCCCCCTTGCTGCATCCTCTCCTCATCTGCTCCTGTCCCCTTCCCTCACACGCAGTGCTGGAGGTCCCATGGGCAGCTGGTGCCGAGCAGCATCTCATTGCAGTGGGTTTGGGCAAGTGTGAAATGTTCCCTGTTTCCAGAGAGGTTGCAAGACACCTGCTGCTGCATGGCTATTTTGTGTTTCTGATTGAGCACATGTGCGTCTTCCAGGGAGGAAAGATGAGCAAAAGCAGAAGGCATTTCTTCCTACTGTATTATATCTAGATGATAGATGCATTGGGACCAAGGAAACCTATAATTAACACCTCTCCTTTTCCTCTTTACTCCTCCCTCTCATCACCTCCAGGGGTTTCTGCTATTTTAACTCCGTGGCAATCGCAGCCAAGCTGCTCCAGCAGAGACTGAACGTTAGCAAAATCCTTATAGTGGACTGGGTGAGTAAATGCCAGTTCTTACCCTTCAGGAGAGCAGTTGGAAATTTTTCTGGGGTTTTTTTTCTTGCAAGGGCAACCGTGGCTTTGCCAGTCAGTAAAAAAGAATGTTGCCTGTGGTCTGCAAGCCAAAATTTGTTTCTTAAAGTTGTGGGTTTGTTTGGGTTTGTTTTTTTTTTTTTTTTAGTAAAATGTTTTTAATAAAAGAAGTATTTCTTAAAGGGTCCATAGTTTTCAGAATAAAATTGTAATTAAGAAGTAGTTGCTTCCTAAAACAAGCCCATAACAAAGTCTCAAGGATGGGTAACTGCAAAACTGTGCTGAGTTTTGGTTATTTTTTTCTGAAGGTTTTTGACCTTAACTGTTAGGATACATCCCAGCTTTCTCGTCAAGATGTGAAGACCGGTTACTGAGAGGAACAGGCTGTCTGGCATAGCTTGACCGTTGGTCTGGATGGTCTCAGTGTCCTGCCTCTGGGCCAGCGCAGCCTACTTGCAAATGGGCAGGCAGTCAAAAGCAATCTCTAAATTGGAACAAGACAGTGAAATACGCTGCAGACAGCACAGTGGATTTGAGAAAGAGCTTGTTTGGGATTTTTCTATGGCGATGTATAGATTTAAAAATGTGCTTGATTGATTTTTATAAATTTAAAAATGTATTTATGTGGCTGTGAAGGCATTTGAGATGCTGACTATCAGCCAAGAGTTTTGATTAGATTGCCACAAATCTCCCATGGGCTAGACCCACAAGTTAAAATGGATTTATTTGTCTTTTTGACCAACTGGATGGACATCCTTTTCCCCACTTCCCACCAACTGTTTTTCATGTCAGAAAGGAGCACTTTAAATACATGTCCTGCGTTTCTGCACCAAGTAGCAATGCAGTAGGGGATCTAGGTAATGGGTTTGTGTTGTTTAATCTTGTTGGGTCCAACACAGCTTTGCTGGGCGCTTGTATCAGTGGTCATCCAGCAGACCAATAAAAGATGCAGATTTGGGGTAACTAATATAGTCTCTCCATCCCCCAAGAGTGGGTATGAATCCAGTTCTCTCTATCCAAGTAAATTGATGCTGTTCTCAGTTCAGATATATGCTTGAGATTGTGTTTACACCTATTTGTCTGTCCTGTATGTTAAACAAGGAGCGTAACCTGAAGCCAGCTGTGCAAAGCAGGTTACTCTCACTTGCAATAAACTGCTTCAGCTAGATCAGAGAAGTGCAGAAAATGAAGCACAACAGCAAAGAAAACCCCTCCAAATCCCAAATTGATGGCTTTAATCTGCATGTTTACTAAGGTACTAACCTCCTTCATATAATGCAATCTCTGTCCCCAAAGGATGTTCACCACGGGAACGGTACTCAGCAGGCTTTCTACAATGATCCTAATGTTCTTTATATTTCACTACATCGCTATGATGATGGGAACTTCTTTCCAGGCAGTGGTGCTCCCGACGAGGTAAGAGTATGGATCGGCATAGCATCCGTCCGTGTCTGATAGGATCTGCCTATCACATAGGGCTGTGATTCAGGTGCCACCCAAAATCTTAGGGAGCCTCTGCCAGGCAAGGCTTGGAGATAAGCTCCTGCCACTGCTCCCATGCTTGTGCTTGTTAGTGCCCCTTTGGGAACACGCCACACGGGTTTGTGCGTTTGGTGCTGTCTTGTCTGAATCCTATCAGCCATGGGCATTGTGTCCTGCCCCGCGAGCTGGCAGGAAAGTGTGCGCCTTGCCTAACGAGCAGAAAATGAGTCAATGCAATTAGGCTCTCCAGCCCTTATGGAAGAACCTGTTCCAGAGGAGCCCTTTGCCAGCTGTCCCAGCCTTCTGTGTACTTTTCAAGATTTCCCCTTTATAGGCGTAAGTTGTTTCTTAGATGCAGGAGGAGCAGGTTGTCTGTGGCTGTGCCACCAGTGCTTGGGTTTTCTGGCACAGCCTTGAAGACCATCCATCCCCCACTGCTTCTGGCCCTGCTGAGGCATCACTGACTGCCACTGCTGCATTGACATTGCATGGCCCTGACGGTGGGATTTGAGCATCAGTCACTGATGCTGCTGGACCAAATCCACAGTTTCCTGGTGGTGGCCTTGGAGCCTCCTGCAGAAGGGCCAGGCCAACAGAGGTGGGAGCCCTTTCTCCCTAAACTCTGGATGAATACTCCTACACCCATTGCATCCTTCCTTTCCCTCTAGATTGGCAGGAAATACTGTCTTTCCAGAATGATTTATCGAAGGGAAATTATATGAAATACTTAGTTTTGTGTACTCTGAAGCACTCCAGATTACATCTGAAAATTCCTAGAGTTCTTAACTGTCAATTTTACATTTTCCTGTTCATCAAACATCAGTGTGGCCATTTCGGTTTCTAAAGAAACTTAAATGTAATGTGATACTGCTTCGTTGCCCTGTTTGTGCACTACTGTTGTAGTGAGTAAACAGCAACCCTTTGCATCAGGCTTAGTTTCTGCTTCAGGATATGCAAAGGTCTCTGACCTACTTTTTAGCTGACCTTTTAATAATCTAGTAATCTGGTTTACAAAATATCCAGTATTGTAAGGAAACACTGGACTGTACTATCCACTCCATAGGAATTTTTAGATGTGTCATTCCAGACCAAATAAAAGAGTACAAAATAAAGTCGATTAAAGCCACAGATGGATAAATAACCCACTGTGGATGCATGAACCCGCCGTGTTTTTCTACCAGCAGTATTTGCAGCAATACAAGGAAGAATGTGCAATAAAAGCCCTGCAGCTTTATCTAGCCTGAATTACCTGGCTGGGTATTGTATTAAACATTAATTTTTGATTTTTTTTTTCCTTTTTCATGTACAGAGACCTAAAAAAAACCACAAAAACAAAACTGTGTAGGAGCTCAGAGCCCTGTGCAGATGCTGTCTGGCTCCCTCGCTCTGTCCCCAAAGACCTGCAGCCTGCGCTCATGGCCACCGCTCTCGGGCAGCTACAAGGTCCCCGCTTGATGAAGGGACGGAACACAGGCTTTTAGGTTTCGATATGGATGGGGAAAACATGGCCCTGCTTCTTGGCAAACAAATTACTAGGAACCCCTGGTTTATTTTTTGGTTTTCCCCTTTCTCAGGTGTTTGCAGTCAGTGCAGATGGGGACATTTGCAGTACATGCAAGGATGGGGATGTACTTACATTTACACCCCACATGTCCCTCAAGCAGTGAAAATCTCTTCTCTGTGAATCATATTTTTCCCCAGCAGAGGGGGAGCTCGCTCTGATTAAAACTCTGGGGGTTTTCCCCCAGTTGCAACTGTAATGAAATATAAAATATGCTTCTGTATAAAGCTGAAAATTAGTTAAGGAAAGGTATTGCATGTAACACACCCTCCTGCAAAAGAGGAAGAGGATCCAGTTGATGACGACATGTTCTTTTGGGTGAGCAGCAGTCAAATACCACTGGTCCACAGGTCCCATAAAGATCTTGTTTTGGCAACCACGTTGCTTTAGAGGGAAAAATTAACCTCACTACCACCAAGCTATTGAATCAAAATCTATATTCAACTGGAAGAATATTAAGACAGCAGAGATGTGTTGACAGAGTTCCCTGTATCCGTATGTATAATTAATGGTACCATCTCCCTTTTTCAGGTTGGCACAGGAGCAGGAGTTGGTTTCAATGTTAACATGGCCTTTACGGGTGGCCTTGATCCACCAATGGGAGACACGGAATACTTAACTGCTTTCAGGTAATATTGAAGTTTTCCTCATACAAACATATTTTTCACCTAAACTGGGTTTCTTTTTCCTTGTGCAATCCTCCTTAATCTTGAGTTTCTGTTTTGCTAAGTTTAGAAATACAAGATGTGTATCTAGTTGCAGTTACTTTTTGAGTACAATAATAACAATAAAGCTGAATTAAGTAAATAAGGTCTTTCTGGCCATAAGAAGTGTGCCTGTGACATTAGGGGATTGACATACTTGCTGGTCAGCACTGATTGATGGATGAATCATAGAATCATAGAATGCTTTGGGTTGGAAGGGACCTTGAGAGATCATCGAGCCCAACCCCCCCGCAGTAAGCAGGGATTGAACCTGTGAACTTGGCGTTATTAGCACCATGTTCTAACCAACTGAGCTAATCCGGCTGGTCAATGTAAAATGTCAACTGATATGAATAAGCTCTTCTGGTTTTGGCTAAAAATCTTTTTACCTCTTTGGGGTGAGTATTTCTGTGGGTAAACCCACCTGGATGGGGAGGGGAATCAAGAAAAAACTTTTTAAGAACTCCTCTTGAGTTGAAACTTGGGAGTGCGGCTGCCCCAAGGCTTGAGACATCACTACTGTGCTGCAGACAGTGGTACCCAACTTCTGAGCAAGTTGGCCATGCAGTCACTCCCCTGCAAGAGCTCTGCTCATGACTCACACCACAGGTCACTCCCAAGTGTACCTAGCAAAGAACGTGGGCTTGTTTTGATAAGCTTTAGATTTTATTATTATTCAGCCAAGAGATTGAATATGCCTGTTCCAACCAACTGGAAATTGAAACAACTGAACTGTTGGGTTTGTGCTTATCTTACTGGGTTCTGGCTTCTCAGAAGCAGCATGTTGTGTGTTATGAATAAAAATACAGCCATCTCTTAAATAAGTGTTACTCATCACTCACTGTCAGAGTGTGAATGAAGGTAAGCAAAGCTGTGGAGTTGAATTAATGTGCTGCTAGGATATCTTCCTTGATTAGCAGTAATAGTAAAGCCAGATATAAACCACTGTGCTGGGTTGTACAAGCATATTCAAGCATGCTTCAAAAAACTGGTATCATTTGAGTCTTCAAATGGAGCCAGGGATGAAGCCACTTGTTGACTCACTTGTTCACATCTGGGTTGTACAAGCATATTCAAGCATGCTCCAAAAAACTGGTATCATTTGAGTCTTCAAATGGAGCCAGGGATAAAGCCACTTGTTGACTCACTTGTTCACATCCTGCTGGTCTTACTGTCCTGCTCACAGAAGCGTATGATACCTGAGGATCACAGGAAGGTATCTGCAGGGAATCGTTTGATCTGATCCTTATTTTCCTCCTCATATCAGCATCATCAGAAGAGATGCGTGAAGCAAAACACACATTAGCTGATCTGCGGTCATGCACACCCAGGTTATGGTCTTTCTAAGCAGTGTCACTACAGGAGCACTACAAGAGTATGGGTTGAAAGTCATCTTGTTGCTCTGAGCAGCTAATGGGCAAAATACCCCAATAGGTGATTGTACATCATTGGTGTTCTGGGGACTTGCTGCAAGCCTGGAGTAATGCATTTGCCTCCCAGAGCTGCAGAGAACGGCAAAAGGAAGGTATTAAAATTAACTATGGAAGCAACAGAATAACAAGATGAAATGAAGGCAGATGTCTGGGTAGCAGAGAACTTGTAAGTAATGCAGCAGTGAATAGAGGCCAGTGTGAGACCACACTTTCCTTTCTGATACTCTTTCCAGGAGAATGAATATAATTCTTTGACCTGCCAGATATATAGGCTTTATTTTTCTTAGAGACTGTCCTGTTCCACCCCCTGCCTCCCCCATGCTGTGGGTCCCTCCTCTCCAACTGGCATATTTTTTAACAATTATGGGTTGAAGTGGTTTTCTGTCCTCAAACCAGATTTAGTGCACTTCTGGCGACCACCCCGCGTAAATTCAGGGAGACACACACTTGCCAAAACATGGGATGCGAATTTCTGGCAACAGGCAGATGGAATACCGTCTTCGTGGAACAGCATTAAATCTGGGAGCGTTATTTTCTGTTCTTCCCTGCGTGCGTATTTGTATTCCGTTATACTGAGCAAAAAGACATTTTACTCTTCAGCCTGCCATTAAAAAGCCTTCAAAGAGTGTATACAATTTAAAATAACATCTAGTCAAGTAACTGTCATTTGTCTCGATGTTTTATTCCTGTTACAGGAAAGCAGCACTTTCCTCCAAAGTGGAAGTCTGTTTATCCCAGCAGTCAACAAGACTGATCTCTTCGTTATAAAGAGAGCCTGTAGCTCACGACAGAGTGACATACTTGCTATTAAATATTAATTGAGTTTCAAGGCTCCTGGAAAATTGCTCAGTCTGCACAGTAAGAGCTTTGCCAGCCATTCCTTAATAGGCACTGGTGTCTTTTTGCCTGGAGACTGCAGCTATGTGGGGACGATATTTTGGAGCTAGTCACAGCCCTTATTTTGCTGGGGTTTTGGGACGTTGTGACTCATCCTCTTAGGTAGCACCTCCCATAGTCTGCCCCATGTGCACACCTTCAGTCAGTAAGTTAAATTGGAAGCTTTTTTTTAATCTTATGCCAAGTTTGGTCATGATAATACGTTATCAAGTGACCTTTTTAAATCTTAACCAGCTTCTTTGAAAAACATTTTTTTTCCCCCCTGAATTTTTCTATTGATTTTAATGTAAAATAACGCTTTGAAGTTTGCAATTTATAGTCCCCCGAGAGTTAGAAAGTGAAGGGAATGGGTCATATATCCTTTTTTTTTTCCTTCTTTTCTTACGTTAGTCCCTTGAGACAATGCATGCCTTCAAGGCAGCACCTTGTTATTCCACCCCATCGAATGCCACGTTGCATTTGCCGGGGATCAAACCTAAGATGAAGAAAAGATAAGAAAATTGGCCATAATGAACTCCAGAAGCAGCAGGCATTTTCACCATGAACTTGGAAACTCACAGTGGAGAACTGAGCTTTAATTCAAACCAGTCCAAATGCCAAACTGTGAGGCTTTGAAGTCTGTAGAGGAATCAGTGGAAATCCTTTGAGCTAGGCAAAGATACTGATATACTTTTTCTTCTTTTTTTTTTTTTTCTTTTTTTTCTTTTTTTTAAGCCTTAACTCTTCACATGCTTGTCTGCTTTTAGGGAAGAAAGCCCTCTTTTTACGTAAAACAAGCAGAAGAAAAATAAGCAACATGCTTTTCTTTTTTTTTTTTTTGTTCTATTTCAGAATAAGCTGGTGTATGGATTTGATAAAAGCATGTGCTCTAATGAAATAATAACAGATAATTGTCCTCATAAATTAGTCTTCTGATGAGTGAATAAATAAATCCCAATGAAACCTATCATCCCTACACTGAAAACTTGCTTCAGTGTTGTTTTACTCTTTCTGAAGAAAGGATGGTAACTTGCATCAATGACTTTTCTACTGGACGTTTCTTCTATGAATATTGGCTTCCCCCTGCTTGCACTGCAGCGTTGGGTTGGACAGGATAGCCTGACCGCTTAATGTTTATTAATACCACTGAGCCGTTTCAAAAGTGAGAACAAGAGTTAAAAATGCGAAGCGGAGAGTAGCCTTGCTGTGCACTTTGTCACTTACTGTCTTCATAACAGAGGGCTGAAATCACCGGCTGCCCTGTCTCAAGGTTGGGGTGATATAATGATTGCTGTATTTTTTTTTTTGGGGGGGGAAAGCAGGGTGGAGTCACCCCAGTCACTAATAAGATGTGCAGAAGGGATTTGGGGAGTTTGCTGTGAGCTTGGCGCTCCTCCACCCCATCGTAGCAGCAGCTCTGCCTGCCCGAGACAGCATGACATTATAATTTAGCTGACCGTTCGCTGGGCGAAGGTCCCATGGCTGAACTCACCACCAAAGTATGTGGGCAATACAGATTTCACAGATTAGGCAGAAATGTATTAAACTCTAATGTGAAAAATGCAGGGCATATAATTTTAAAAGTTCTTAACTCATCAAAATGTTATTGGTATTCATCGCTGTTATTCCGTAGTTATAGAAACAAATGGTTGTAAAATTCTTTTTTTTTTTTTAATCAGAGTCTGTTGTTCCCTAACTTGTTAGGGAAAGCAGAAATCATGTTTGCTTCTACAAATCCTCCTGATGTTTTCAAAAGCAAAGTGTGCAAACCCAGCTAAGAGACCTGCAGAAAAAATGCAAAGACTGTGGCTAGTTCCTTATTACACGAGAACAGCAATTACTTAGTGAAATTAAAGAGTATTATCCACAGGAGTTTTCCTCTGAATTTACTGTAAGAAGATTTTCCTGATGATTCTAGCAGTTGTGTTGTCTCATACAAACTTTTTTCCCTACCCTGAGGTCTCCTCCACAATTATAATTCCATATACAGCTTGATTCTGTGTTAGTTTTATTTTTATTTAAAACACCTAAACTAGAAGCAAAAGCCAGGACTGTATTTGAAAGGTCCCTCCTCCTGCCTTTCTCGGAAAGCATTAAATGAGTTCAGGAGCCAATTTGGGGGGGGGGATTTTGTTTTTTCCTTCGATCCATAAACCATTTCAGGAGTGAGTAAGAGGGAGGGGGGGAACTTGATGATGTTTTGCCTGGAACGGTTGTTTCTGTATTTTAGATTTCATGCTCTCCCAATGCTGATTTCATCCCCAAACTCCTAATCCCTTTTGACATAGTAAATGACTGTGGAGATGGCTGCTTGGAGAAACAAAGACCAGAGTCTTCAGGAGGCTGATTAGCCTTAGGAGTGGTGGATAACATTTCGATATGTATAAATATATATATGGCCAACGGTGGGAAAAAGAGTCTCTGAAAAAAGTGCTCAGCCTTCTAATTTTCACCGATTTGCTTGCTGCAATTGAGCATTTAAAAAAAATCCTCTGTAGGATTGTTTAATCTGCCTGTCGTTTATTAGGCATTTAATTGGTGAATTGGCTAGTAACAGACTAAAAATTATTCTGTCTTCTGGAAAGTAGATATAAAATTGTATTTTTTTTTTCTCCCCCAAATGATTGCAGAACATGAAAAGTAGTTTTTACTGTTTGCAGCCATCAGTATTGACTAATGTGTAGCTGTTGAGCTTAGCTGTAATCAGAGTCAAATGAAAGGATTTATTTTAAGCAAGCAAAACAACCCTCTAAGTTTAGGAAATTTAAAGCTAACCCTTGAATTTTAAAAAATTCTACATGGCTTGAACGAATATTTAGTGTTATGAACCCTGTCATTCCTTGGTGAATAACTCTACAGCCACCTTAGCCATGAGTTAAAAGACCCAGTTCCAGACAAAACTGCTCACCTTCTTGATAGTAATTTAAATTTCTGGCTTTTTTATAGTATCATCACCAGGGCAAAGCCATAAGTTTGTGTGCAGCATAATTGTTGCTTTTTCTTGGGGACTTAGCTTTACTGTGGTGGATGTGAGCGAAGAGGCTGTTTTCATCTGTGCACAAGAAAAATTAAAAACCAAAAGACTGGGTTAGATGTGCCTGAAATGCTGCCTGCAGGTGAAATCTCAGAAATACATTGTTTGAAAGCAGTTCGTTTGCTTGCGTTTTAAATTTTCATGTGAGCCTCTTTTTTGTATTTTTTTTATTTCAATTAAAAAGGGAAAAACGAGGGAGGGAGTGCTCAGAGGCAGGAGGGCTTTGGGCCTTCTGGGTCAAGTTTTATGGCCAAAGATATAGCTGCTTACATACATGGTGAGTATCAAATAGAGCTGGGACTGCAGCTTTGGAGTAGTGGTGTAATACTGGAATTAGGAGAAAGTCAGAACCAAGAGCAGCCCAGGAGAGTTTGGGTAGGAGACATGGGCAAAGGAAAGGGTTCAAGTCTGGATTTGAGAGTGCTCTTGAGTTTGGATGGGTTTGTGATGGTCAAGGTGCCAAAAGCATCATTAGCTTATTTATTCTGACATCCTGTCATCTTGCACTTCCGCACGGCTCCCAGGCAGCCTCTGTCCAGGATGCGCATGCAGCACACATTCCATGGGCACAGACTGACTGTCTTCATGGCTCCTCTTGGACATGGGAGCCAGGGGACCACTGACACATGTTTCTTAAAACTCTGAGGGACCTGATAAAAATTTATTGTGCGTACAGAGCACCACTAATAATTGCTCAGAAATGAAGGTATTTGCTGGGGTAACCAGTTGTGGCTGTAAGGTCACCCCATCCTGCACCGGAGAAAACTCTGGACATCCTCAAAACGTCGTCTTCTAACTATTGTCAAATACTGATTGATTTACTTCTAAAAAACAACTACTGCTTTTTCTCTCCTAAAATTTATACAGACAGGGTTCACAGTTAACTCTTGGTGCTGCCTGTCACCATGTGGGGACCTTCAGCTGAGCATCACCAGCACCATCGCGCTGCTCACTGGCTGTCCCTGTTCCTTGGGTGCGTTCATGCTTGGGCATCAGCCAGATGAGCTGTCCCACGGCCAGCAAAACGTTACTGATTCAGGGTTGCGTGGGTTGCTCAGTGCTGACAGACCATGCACACAGCTTGGGGGTGCGTGTTTGGGCTTGCTCTGTGACTGGCTTAGGGTCGGTCATCCAGCACATCAGTTGAGGTACTAAGCAGCTCCCATGGTATCATAACTTTGGAAGGGCAGGGGATCTGATGATTTTAGCAGTTTTCCTTCAGTTAGAAATTAAAGAGCTCAGCAGTACTTCAAAGCTCAGGGGAAAAAAAAAAAAAAACCTCTGCCACATGCACTTGCTTCAAGACTGCTGCTTTAATCCTTTCTGAAGGAGGTGGTTTCTGCCTAAAATGTCTGTGGGTTAAAACAGATTTTTGTCAACTGTAAAGTCATCAGCAAAAAGTGCTATTCTGTCTTCCTTATGTAATAATCTCCCTGAGGACAAAATGTGTATGGCAGTCGTGTCGTTTGAGGAAAAAATTAAAATTCGTCTTTTGGATTTTGTAAGAATTAAAATAAGATCCTTTTTGCGTAGGTTTCCATGTCTGTGTGCAGAGACTGGCAGGAAGGAAGATTGTAGGAGGCTGTTAGGTTACTGTGGCAATTAGTTGGCAAAAATTTAAAGCTAGGCTTTTTTTTTTGGACTACATTGTGTCTGAGTGCAGGGGCTCCGCTCAGCAGTGGCAATGGAAACTGCTTGATGGCTTTGAGCAACACTGGAAGTATCTCATTGCATGGTAGATGTTAATACTCCATTAAAAATAAACTCTGTGGAGGGCAAAATGGCATGCGCTCAGATTGGTGTTGGGGCTGATACAACTTGCTGATGCTAGAAGGTGTCTTGTGGCTGTTTAACATCATTGTAGCAAGAGATGTGATTTTTTTTATAGGTGTCTTGATAGCACTTGAGCAATCTCAGCACTAAACAGACCTTTCTGGGCTCTTTCTGTTTTTCAGACCATCACCTAACAACGATACTCAATAAAAGTGAAGTTCTCATGTATGCAAACATATTTACAGGTTCATGCTTTGGTACATGAATAACTTCAATTCACGCTTCAGAAAGTTAACCTTGCCAGTAGCTGTTCGTCCCTAGATGGGGAAACGGGGAAATACTGTTGTCTTCAGTACCAGCAAGGGACAGCATTGGTCAGGTTGCCCTAGGGATATATCCAAGATTCAGTGGGTACACTTATAATGGAAAAAGAACATGATTTGGAAAATATTACTCTGTATAATAGAAAGGGCAACCCTCTGTGCACATCCTTGCTTTTCCACCATTTCCTACAGTTATCAGCATCCGATCGAAAAATGCAAAATAACTTTCAAGCCCATGCACATGGGTACCCTGGCATGTACTGAAGGCACAAGAAGGTGTTCATCCAAGAGTGCTTGTGACAGGCTTTCTCAATCATAAAAGATTGTGGGTGTCTGCATCACGTTTAAGAAGCTCAGTTGCTTTGACTTTCTTCCTTACTGTAATTTCTGTTCTGCCATGTTTGTGCTGGAGCTGTTAGAGAAAGAAGCTACTACTTGCTCTCTGCTCAACTTTTAGTTGTCATCTTGATGTAGGAAATGGGGTGTTTGCAACCTTGTGTAGGTTTGGAACAGAAATTGGGTAGACCAAAGAGAGAAACCAGAGGAAAAAGGCCTTTTGCTGAGAAACCACAGGCCCAGACCTCTTGTTTCATTTAAATACTGGCCTTAACAGCCAATAGTTTTTGGATGCTAAGCAATTCAGTCCATTTTTTTAGTGAACAAAATGCCACAGGATGGGGAAACAGAGTTCAGAGAGAGGTGTATTTGGGTGGGATATTTGCATATTAAAGCTTTTTGCCCCATGTGACATCCCCAGCCTTTCATTATGGTAAATGAGAAGTGCAACAAGGAAGAAATAAATAGCTTTGCAGATTCTGCAAAGGCTAAAGGAGATATTTAGAAGAAGAACATGGAGACAAGTGCCACAAACTGAGGTTGCTGTTGGACAGGTTTTGCAGGTGGATTTGCAGCCCGTGCCAGATGCCCCGTTATTTTCTCCTTATCCCCTCAGTGCCCTGTATATAAAGCAAGATATGATCACAAATGGGAAATACAACATATGGCAACTCATTTCCCTGGTCAAGACTTGAGTCTGTTGATGAAGGAATTAAAAGACATCACTGAAAAAACTAACATAAAATCGACTTTAAAACTGCTGTGCAGCAGGGCAAGGTGATCTGCCAGTCAGGCTCATGCTTTGTAAGAAAATAGGAGATCAGCTTTGCTACTGTGACTGTGGAATAATAGTACAAGGTTTTATAATGGGTTTGTTCAAGATGGTTTAAGTGTTCCTGCATTTGTTTGAGAGCCAAAATAACATGTCTGCCATTGTTAAATTTTTGTTGCAGAACGGTAGTAATGCCCATTGCCAATGAATTTGCCCCAGATGTTGTGCTGGTGTCGTCTGGTTTCGATGCGGTGGAAGGTCATCCCACACCTCTTGGAGGATATAATCTCTCAGCAAAATGTAAGTTGTGGATTTACAAGAACAAAGATCCAAAGCTGGTGTAAATTGCTGCTGCCCTAGGGACTAAAGTATGGGGTTTACCTTTTAGGGTCTATCTTCAAATCTTTCATTTCAATGGCAAACTTTTCAGCCTTTTTCTTTGCATTTTCATGTGTTTTGTCACTGCACTGTATATATTTTGGTCTGGCCAAAGCCTTCATTTTCTTGAAGCATTGCATATTTCAATTTCGAGTGCAAATAAATTATATAAGGATGTTACCAATTTGTTTGTAGGTCTATCTCTGTGGAAGGCAGCTGCTGAGTTAGAGTTATGCTTGTTTTAATGCAAAATTGTAGAAAGGCAATGCCAGATGTAAACAGCGTACCCTGCTCTGAATGCTAGTAGAAGTTCATTTCTTCCTCCAGCATACCTAATTAAAAATTCAAGCTCAATATTTTTGTTCTCCACCTTTGAAGCTATCATACAGGCCCACAGGAATGTCCTTTTTGCTTTGGATCTGTGATGTTTTGCATTGCATCGGAGATGTGCTGAAGTTTTCCCCCCCTTGGTTATGCTGGGTTTATCTGGCACGGTTTCATTCAAGTCAATTGAGAAGACAGTTTTTCTTGCAAAAGGATTTTATTATTTTTTAAGAGTTTGCTTCAGCCAGGAAACTTATTCTCTACAGTGAACTTCAGAACCTCATAAGGTAGCTGAATCTATAAACTTTATATAAGAATAGAGTGAAATAGATTTACAAGAGACAAGTTATTTAAGATATCCAGAAACACTTTGTAATGAGAAGGTCTTGTTTACCTTCTTCTTGAATTTCCCGTGCTCTGCTACTCTCGCAAAACGGTTACGGGCTCAGCTGTGAATCTTTTTATCTGGCTGTTAATTTGCCAATTTGCAAAGGCGCTCACGGGGGTCACTGCAAAACAAAAAGCAGGGAGCGTGGATGAAGGGTTGAAATGCCTTGGGTTTTCTTTTGTTTGGATTTTTTTTTTTCCCAGAGGGAGAAGGTTGCTTTGAGGACACGTTTTTTAAATCCTTGCAGCTTGGTTCTGTTTTGTTTAAAGGGTAGAAATGTATTGTGTGTCATATGATCAAAGTCCCGGGTGCCCCAGGAATTTTTATAGCGTATTATATAAGGGAAGAAACGTCTGTTAAGAACTAGATGTCAGATATCTCTGGGGCACTGTGATGCTGCTATCGCAACTGAAAGCACCGGCAGCAATTTTACTTATTTCCCCTTCCCCACCTCCCTCCCCCCCATGCCTCCCCCATGACTGCTCTGACTTTGCATCTTCCAAAACAGGGCAAAAAGCCACCTCCTTCTACCCTCTTTCCTTCCTTCCAAAGGAGATATTTGCTGCTACATATAATTCAGGGTGCTCAGGGGTGGTAGGGAGGGTGGCGGTGCCTCTTGCCTGGGATAAACTCCAGCAAAGCGCTTGTTGGGGAGGCACGGATCAGTCCTGCAGCACACACGGCAGAGCCGGTCCAGCAGGGAACCATGGCTGGAATTCTGCAGTGAGCGTATTAAAATCCAACCTGGCTTATATTATGCATTGAGTCGTTTCAGATCCCTTGTGGTTTTTTAATATGATGTAATTCCTTTCTATAATTCTTTGATCCTTTGCCAGGAGCCTGATTCCAGCCGCAACCTTTGCCCTTCTCCTGCATTTCCTCTTTTCCCTTGTTACAGGCTTCGGGTACCTGACAAAGCAGCTGATGGGCCTGGCCGGGGGTCGCGTCGTCCTGGCCCTCGAAGGAGGCCATGACCTGACCGCCATTTGCGATGCCTCGGAAGCGTGTGTTTCTGCTTTGCTGGGAAATGAGGTACAGAGACAGGCAAAACCAGGGGCCACGACCTCCACCCTCTCATCTTGCAGAGTTGTGCAGTCATGGGGCTGAGTGTGGGCTTCTCATCTTCCAAAACAGTCATTGTCATTGTTTTGGGTCCTTTTGACACGTTGATGTACAGAGTGCATGCTTTATTTGTTTAAAAACTACCTGTGTTTGGCAATCCGTATCATAAGGATTGAAATAGCTAAGAATTGACTTTAGATTTATTCTTTATCCAAATAGTTTGCTGTGTGCTCTTTGGAAAGCAACCAATTAGTTTAATTTCTTCCTGAAGTCGTTGACCAAGCCTTCCCTTCTCTTTGCAGACCTCCTCTCTAGTGCTGCAGCCCCTACCTGCTGCATTGGGCAGCTTGCTTGATATTTGTTTTCAGTTGTATGTTTTCCTTGACATTATATTTTCTACCTTCTGCAAATTGCTGTGTCACAGAAGTTGGCTGGCAAGGCCAGGGTATTTGATTGCAAGATAAGAGCAAGACAGAGAAGTACACCAAGGAAATCTACTTTTTGGTTTCCAGGGCGGCCAGGGTATTTTCCTACAGAGACAGATACTTTAGCTTTTCTGCCTTCCCCCCCACCCCACCTTTTAGTGTCAGTGGGATTAAGGAAGAAGTGATTCAGATTCCTTGTGACCATCCTCCTTGATGCAGCCTGGCTATCAGCATCTGCTCTAGCTGGCACTGAATGAGCAACTCACGCCTACATTTCTTCCAATGCGGTTGATAATTAAAAAAAATTGGAGTGGTGGCATTTGACATGTCTTTGGGCTCGGGGAGTTCAGGGTCATGTACTGCAGAAACAGAGCAGCAAGAAAATACAGAAATCTATTATCGGCAGTGAAATCCCAGAGTGGGGCTCTGTGCATCTGCTATGTCTGTACCTTTGCATACGATTCTGTTCAAGAAGCATATTTCTCTGTAATTTTGGGGCTTTTGAGTATGAGCAACTGGTTTGTTTGTGTCGAGCCTCCCTCCTTCTGCTACATTCCTCTTTTTTGGACACCTTTTCTCCACATGGAGGATGACCACTTTCCAAATGGTTGAGTCTTGGATGGACACAGTAGACTGCAAAAGTGCCTTGCATGAATTTTCCACCTCACGCAGAGAAGCAGCTGCTTTCAGCCTGCAGCCCTGGGCACAGTCCCTGCTCGGTACCTGCTGTGGGTGTCATGGTATAGCAGGGGCTCTGGAGCTGTTCAAAACAATCATTCAGGATTGATAGCATGAATTAAAACAACAGCACAGTGTGATTCCTTGGGCTACATATAGCTAAAAATTTCAGCCTTGGGGGAAAGCAACCACAGTGATTTGAAGTTGGTGGTGGCTGTGAAACCTTGGGCAGTATTAATGGCTTGGCTAGTGTGTTCGAATGTTTAGGCTGCCTCTCTAAATAAGAGATTGCCCTCAGTACCTTGTGGAAATGAGCAAATATTGAAAGGCTAGAATAACAGGACATGAGGAGGCTCCTGAGATGATCTCTGGTAGAGCAGACTTCTGAAGGCAGTGGTTTCTTCCACAAAGCAAGAGGTCTGCCTGCCTGTCAGATGGTGAAGGAAGGAAAGTCCTCCTAAAGCTTTCCTCTGCTGTGGAGAGCACAACCAGCATCTCTCATCACCACCCTTTGTTGAAGAACCCCTTGGTGCAGGAGCTGAGGGAGGATGTGTGGTCAACATCTGAAGGTGCAGCACCACAGAGAGGAAAAGCCAAGCAGTACTTCAGCTCTGGGTCTGCTTCCAGTGGGAGCTGACTTCTGGGGATGGTGGTGAGCTGCCATGAGCAGACTTATTCTGACTCACAGCTGCAGTTCAGTGACCATAAGCCTTTCTCAGGTCTGGGTAGTTGGAGTAGGGAGCTTGGATCTGCACAGAGGTGCGTATCACCTTTGTTTGCTGGCTCTTCCACCGTTTTGTAGAACTGCTCTGTCTTGCAGTATCCACACTCCACACAAAGGACAACAGTGCCTGGGGAAACCTGACTAACCAGTCTAAGAGATAAACAGCTGGGATTCATCAAAAGCATCTGCTTCAATCATCCAGCATCCCATCTCCAAGCATCCAGAGAGCATCTGCTCCTTGTGCTTGGCCAGGCAGTTCTGATAAGGCTCTCAGCATGGGTAACTGATCCAGCATGCCAGCCTGCGCTCAGCCCTCGGGACAGCTGAAAACTCCAGAGCCAGCTGCTATGTCAGCATGGAAGCAATGGAGTTTTTATTGCAGCACCCGTCTTTCTTAAGCTGACAGCTGACAGCACTGTTGTCACCACAGACAATTCCTCTAGCTCCATCCACCTTTGGGTACAGTTGGCTCTAATGGCAGGATACACTTTGAAGGGGAGGCAGAGGAAATGACACATGAAGATTGTCATTCCTCTTGCTTAACATGCTCCTGCGATGCAGGTGGGTGACCACAATGTGGTGTAAGGATCTGTGTGCAGATAAGCACTCGACCTGAGCCACGAATGTGTTTGGAAGTGCAAGGGTTTGGGGATATTTTAGCACTCACAATGGCTTGGATGTTGTCAGCTGCCTGAGTGGTTTCATTTAGCAGAGTGAATATTGATCCTTAAAGGTAAAAAAACATTTATATTTTTAATCACCGAATCAGGACAGCTATAAGACACTTTAAAATACTTAAAGATGGACCTGTTCTCACTTTTCCTAGGTGGGCTATAAGGCTGCGCAGATATCATCGTAATGTTCTCTGACTTACCCGCACATCAAAAAGCAGGAAACACTAGTTTTATCAAGGTCTTTTATAAAATCTTTTTAATGCAAGGAAGTTGGAGGGAACTGCTGTTGCTTTGTCCCATGGCCCTTTGATGAAGTTTGATATACAGCGTGTTAGACGATTTTGCATGTGTGCACATAGACAGCCAGCTGCGGCCGGCGACGGGCTGCAGGGAGGTTTGCTGCCTGAAGAGCAGTGCCGGAGTTACACAGGGAAATGGTAGGAAATGAGGGGAGCAGTGCCAGTCCCCAAAGCATCTGTGTTCACCGGTGGAGATCAAAACTCCCACTTTGGAAAAAGCGTTATGCAAAGGCAAGAGCCATCTTGTTCCCAACTGTCTGAGAAATTAAAACAGAGCTTTAGCTTTGCAGCAGATTATTTTAATGCGAAATGAGTTAGTGCCGGGCAAGGTTGCTTGAAAATATATGTACATTGCTTTAGTTACAGATTTAGTTGTGCAAAACTAACCCGACTTCAGTTGAAAAATCAAAGGTAGGCGTAATGCAGGGAAGACCTGACGATGATAATTTAGACCAGTAAGCCACCATTCCTCTCCCATTACTTAAAGCAGCCCCTGACAGCAGCGTGTGAGCAGTGCTGGAGGGCAGGGGAGGCAGCAACCATGCAGATCTGCTCACTCCATCATGGGCATCACCAGCCGTTACCCTTCAAACCAACTTCTGCCCCATGGCAAATGCTGCTTGTGAACTATCTGTTCCCAGGGAGCAATGCTGCTATTTAAGCGCTGGAACATCAGTAGGATTCGCTGCCCCAGGGTAAGACCCATGCCAGGACCATGCCTGGAGCAGGGTGGGAGCTCCTGTGCCGCAGGAGCTGCAAACGGTGGGCAGAGAGATGGGAAGCACGTGCTGGGATACGTGGTCCTGGAGCTCAGCAGCACTCACAGTGCGGCCTGTCACTGCTACAAATGCTTTGTCATTTTTCACGCAGAAGTAGTGGAGGTGTGTCTGGTGTCAGACTCCAGACGTCCCAAATAAACAAGAAGGTGATAATAAGCAGTTGCTTTAAAACCTTTGCCTAATGCCCTTTTCCAGGAGAGCAATGGGTGAGGCTGTTGTCTGTGAGTGTTATTTCAGGTGGAGGAGTGTGCAATGGAAACGATTCACACGTGTGGCCGGGCTGCCTGATGTTGCATGCTTTATATCAATATCAACCGAGAGGTGTTAGAAAGCTCTTACTTAAAGATTTGTCCAGGAATTGCTTTTGCCTTCACTTAATGTCATACAGAAGCCAGTTTGGGCCAGAATTATTTTTAGAGTGGAGAATTTATAAAAAGTGCAATCTGTAATTATTAAATCTGGAACAGAACAATTTCTAGTCCTCATGAAGGAGGACTAGACTATCAAATGGCTGCCATGTGGTCGCAAGAGCAGATCTCTTGGCTTTGAACAGAAGTTGCAGTTAAACTTTGCTGGGGTTTTGTTTGTTTGTTTGTTTTTAAACTGTTAAACTGTGGCTGCTTCTTTGCTGGGTAGTATCCCTGGATGGGCCTTGACCAGCATTTTTAGACATAGTTAACAGCTGTGGACATCTCTTGTTTTGGATACCCAACCTTGGAGGTCTGTGACAAATTCACATTCTTTGTTGAGATCCTGGGGGGGTTGGTGTGGGAAGAAAGAAAAAAAAAAAGATGGGTTTGGAGAGCATCAGATCTGCTGAAAGTTTTTTCTTGAGTATTTAGTTGGCTGTGAGGTGTCTTAAGCTTGTGTGAGTCTAATCCAAGCCATTGTCCATGTACGTGAGCCAAGAAGAGCTGCTCTGCTGGGGCATCCTTACCTACCAAGCAGACACCCCTGCTGTGCCAGAGGAAACCAATATTCTCCCCAGTGTCATCTGTTGAAAGCAAATAACCCCATCTCCTTCCCTTGGAAGACCTTTTTATAATTTTGCATTATTTTTCTTTTTTTTTTTTTTTTTTTATTTAATAAATTGGAAGATCTGTGCTGCAGATCTGCCTCCTTTCCTGGGAAGGCGTGCTGGTGCTGCAAAGGGAGGCAGCCCTAACTCCTGCCTGCTGTCGAAGCCATGCCTGCACAATATTACTGTGCTGCAGCCGCTGCCAAAGGATGGCAGGAGCCACATGAATGTATCTTAGGGTCTTTGCTGGCTCTTCAGGGAAAACAACCCAACAAACTAATTCATAAGGGGCAAAGGGGACAGTTTTACCTTTTCAGAGGACAGTCATCTCAAGGTGAGAGAGGTAACCCAATCAAAGAGGATGTTCTCTTCTTGGGTTTATTTTTTAAAGGAAAGCAAATAAAAACTAAACCCACCAGCAGTGCTGTCAGGGGCCTTCCTCTGGGAGAGGACATGCATGCTCCCACTGCAGAACAGACTTTGCTGGGGATGGGACCCTGTGGTCTTGACGGAGGAGGGTGTTCGAGGCTCATTGTCTTTACTGATGTTTTCTGTCACCAGAAGAGCCACGGCTTGCTGCTCTGCGGCACCCACCTCCCAGGCGAGCAGGGTAAAAAACACCACGAAGAAGGATGCAGTTTTCAGGGTGTTAATCTAATTTCTCTTTTTCTGTACTGACCAAAGACTGTTGGGGCTGGGATGGATTCGGGCAGAGCTTTCTATCAGGAGAGAGGAAAATGTCTCCCAGAAAATAGGAAGAAACTCCATCAACCAAGAAGAGGGCATTTATCTTGCTCTCCTCTTTTTCTCATTCTTACACCTTTCCCCTGCCCTGGCTGCCGGAACACTTCTGTGCCTCTAAAAAGAAGTGGGAAAAGCGATGTCCTTCATTGCTGAAGGGAGCTGTGGAGTTATTGTCCATCGGTCACCATACGTGCATTTGTCCATGCCGATGCAAAGGTGAACTGGATCCCCTGGTAGTTCTGTAATCTCCTGACTGCAAACCAAAAGGGCAACTCTCTCCTGCGTAGTAGGAGAGCTTGCATCCAAAAACAAGCCATATATGCATGCATCTAGTTTGGACGTTAGTTTTCTATATAGCAAGTCTCAGGTCTGCAGAAGCTTTTTGCTCTTGAGTGCTGAGGAATAGTTTTCTTTCTTTATTTAAAACAGCTGTGCTGATCAAAGCATGGTCTCAGTGGTCCGCACTACCACTGATAGCCAGCACTGCTCAGTCGACAGAGGTGTGTGCTCCCAGACTGATACAGCTGACATCTCCTGGGACCGCTAATGGAGATGTAGCTCTGGTGGCAAAACCACCTCCTTGCTGGGACAGCTTATTTCATGCCCATGGGCTGGAGCAGTCTATCCGGGCAGCAGCATGGGTTTGTCAGTGGGAACTGCATCTAAACCAGCACTTGGCCATTACAGTCCTGCAAGGCAACTGCATCGGCATCATACTGCTCCTATAGGTTTCATATACAGGCTTTTACAGATCCAGACCACAGAGCTTTGCTGGGGATGGACTGAGAGGAATAACTAGAGAAGGACTTAGAGGAGCTTCTTTAGAGTGGCATTTCCTAAGTCATCTCTCTCTAGCAAAATGAAGATACTCTTATTTGTCCCATGGTCCTTGTTAAGTTAATTGTTCTTAGTGCTTTGATATTTTATTGTTGTTAACAGCTGGTAACAAAGGCAGCGCTGCCATCGGGAGGGTGGGATGTATGTTAGAGCAAAACAGAAATTGTAAACATGCCATTTGCATTTACAGCATAAAAGCAGCCAAGCCCAGAAAGGTACCTGCTTGTTATGTGTATTTACACTGAACATTTTTTGGGAGGCCTTCTGTGTCATCTTTCAACTTAAAATCTCAATGCCAGCAGTATGTTCTTATTGTCACCTTTTTGTATAAAGAGCAAAGGAAAGAAGCCAGCATCAAAAAGCCTGAATTTTAATACCCAATTATGAGCTCTACCAGTAACTTCAAGGCAATTTTTTTTTAAAGACTAACATACAGATCTTATGCTGCTCTGCCCTGGCAAGAGGAGCCCAGCAGCTGGTAAGAGGCATCAATGGTGACTGAAGTTATAGTCATGCTGAGTGTGGCTTTAAAGCAGTGTTTTGCTGCTTCCCTGTACCAAAATTAGGCTATTTATTCCTCGGGTACAGATTTTTTCAGTTAAGAGTTAATAAAAACATTGCATTAGGTATTTAGAAGAATTAAAAAGCTACCCCTTTTATTTCTTTAGGGAAAACCAGAAGTGTGGCTGTTACCGTATTTTTAAGTCCCTTTTATCTGCACATTGTTTTGTTTTAATAGTGAAAACTTTGCAAAAATGTAGATCTGAGCGATAGTTTAAAAAAGATCCTTTGTAAAAGCAGCCAACATCTCTTGCCTTATTTTTCTGGTGTGTAATAGTGCATCTTCATAGTGTGCATCAATGGCTGCAGGCAAGTAGACCCTGTGCTGCATGGCTGCTGAGCCTGGTGGAGCTGCAGCATTTTGTGTTGTGGAGGAGCATCAGGCTGCAGGAGGCTGCACTGAGTATCACAAGAGCACTTAGAAAGTTTGTGTATTTTGGATATTTCACCAAAGGCAGATAATAGGAATCAGGAGAGTGGGGTGGAGGCTTGATATGGCAGAGCCACTTCCTAATTCGCACTTAATGCCTGGTCTCTAACTTGAGATAACATTTGTTCTGTGTTCCTCTCTCTTTCCAGCTTGATCCTCTTCCAGAAAAGGTTTTCCAGCAGAGAGCAAATGCTAATGCAGTGCATTCAATGGAGAAAGTAATCGAGATACACAGTGAGTATAGCCCTGTTCACCCAGCTAGTTCCCTGTTGGGTTGCCCTGTGAGACACCTGTTTGACTTCTCCATCATCCTGGCAACTCCATGTTCCCTCATCCTAGTTTACAGGTGGTCACTGCACAGTGAACTGGATTTGTGCAGCCACAAGCTGGTCTTACTGTGCACGTGGTAGCGGATCGAGCAATGCATGGGGAACAGTCCGTTCAGGGAAACACTGGCACTTGAGGAGGAATTATATTAAAAGCTTTAAAATCTCTGTAAAGGACAGGCTGTCCCACACTTAGAGTGTGCCCCCATCTCTTCAAAAGCAATTCAGGTATATCCAATTAACATAAGTCTTGTTGGGTGTTGTGGCATCCATTAATTAAGAATGGATAGGGATGAAAGTTAGAGTATTGCATGAAGTTGCTAAATTGTAGGTTTATTTAGCTGGGGAGGTTAAAATCATTGTGGTTGAAGCTTTCCTGGGGACATTCTTGGGGGATGGAGTGAAAGAGCCTGCGTAACATGTGGATCCCACCACTAGGTCCTGACACCTTCCTGCTTTAAACATTTGTGGTCTAAAAATGGAGGGGGCTAGTCTCCATTTTATAGGGCAAAAATGGAGCTTAAAAGATGCCAAAGCTTCCCCCCTGCCCTGCCCTGAAAAATGCCCAGTGGTTTTAGAAATTTGAATTCCATTTCCAGAAGCTGCTCTGTAGACTGAGCGCTCAGCACCAGTGTGATACCTCAGCAGCACCTTGAGCCAGCCAGTGATTTTTTTTTTTTTTTTTTCCCCCCCCTTAAAATGAGCACAGCAAACTAAAAGGGGCTTGGAGTAAGACCCTCAGATATGCTGCCCAATACAGGAGAAACAAAGATGTTTGAAAACAAGTCCCTCCTCCCCATCTGCTGGCCTCACTGTACAGGTTCTTGCTTTCAGGCTTTTTGCTGTGGCTTCTTGGGTACCAGCAAATGTGTTGTGTCCTGCCTGGGAGCCAAGAGAACATCTTTTGTTCTCTCCCTCTGAAGCTTTCTCTATGCTCTTTCCACTGAAAAAGGGTGGCAAACTACCAACATCCAAATAAATACAACTTAGGCTTCTTTAGTCTTAGGTGATTTGCCCACAAAAAGAACATGGCAATTAGCAACTGAATGTGGATATCCAGTCCAAATCTGGACTGCATCCTTACCTCTCACGTATTTTTCCTTAGGTCTAAAAGTTTCTGAGGGTTTTGAAGTCAAAAAGGAAATGTCATTATTTTGGGGCACCTAAGTGTCCTGTTTCGTCAAGACAGAGGGATGCTGTACATCTCTGTGCAGCTTGGATCCTCACCTCCAGCACCCTTTGTGCATTTGTCCTTTTAAATCCAGTTTCTGCCTCCCACCTTTCTTCCTTAGCCAAAGGAGAAGAGCATCTTTCATTGCGGGACAGTGATTCAGCCTCAATTTGACATCCTAGGTGTCCTTAAGGGATGTTCAGGTGCATGTTTATTGCTCTCAATACCTTTTGGATTTAAAACCTAGTTCTTCAAGACACAGCAGCATTGCAGCTCCACCTAGCATGGCATATAGCTCGCAGGGGTCTCTCTGGCCTCGCGTTGCAAGCTGGGGCTCCCTTGGCATGCATTCCCAGGAACCTACTTCCACCTGCAGCTTCCTCCACAGCCCTGGGACCTCGAGGTGGTCCCTGAAATTGAGAGTGAGTGCGGATCAAGGTTGCATGTTGCATAGGCATGATGAGTCTTCCCCAGGCAGGTCTCAGCCATCTCTTGGGCCTAGGAAGGCAGAAGCACGGTGCTGGACCCGTTGCAGTGCAGATGCCCTAACTGCCTCTTCTCTCCCCAGGCAAGTACTGGCATTCACTCCAGCGTTACGCCTCCACAGTGGGGTACTCCCTGGTTGAGGCACAGAAGTGTGAGAATGAGGAGGCAGAGACAGTAACAGCCATGGCATCTCTGTCAGTGGGTGTTAAGCCAGCTGAGAAGAGGTGAGTTGTTTTCCTTCCCATTTATCATCACATCTTGGAGTCTGCCCAGGGAGGAGGAGCCGTGGTGAGCAGCCTTCTGGGTTAATCCTCTCCTTTTAACCATTGCACACACATTCCCCACATCTCCTGCCTTCCGTGGGTTCTCTAATGACCTCCTGGGCTGCAGGAGAACAGCAGTGCCATGAACCCCATGTGTGACCTTAGTACAGTGCACTCTGTGCCTGACCCCTCTGCTCCAACCAGAGCTGAAGGTGGTTTTGGACTGTGAGAGGAAATTGATTTTGCTGCAAAAACGGTAACATTGCACAAGTGAAGACAGATTGTCTAAAAAACCTTTTTGGTGGCAAGTTTTAATTCCAGGTGAGCCAGCTGAGCACAACTGCCCGGGTGGGAAGGTGGTGGGAACCTAAGGTGTGAGACTTAGCACCACAAATTGTCCAACTCTGTCATGCTCAACCCTCTTTTCTCTCTTCCCCTACTTCCCATCCTTCTTGGCTGTGAAATCACTCAGACCCGATGATGAACCCATGGAAGAGGAACCTCCCCTGTAGCATTCACCTTCAAGCTGGAGTTCTCCTGTCTGTTCGTCTTCGTCTTGAAGCTCTGCCAAGAAGCTTTCTCTTGTTACTCCTGCGTCCTGTCATGGTTTTTTCCAGAATACGGAAGGACAACCAGGTGTAAAACGAAGCAACCGAAAAAAATCTCTCCATATCTATATGCGTCTACAGTATATATTTGCCGAAAAAGAAAAACGCTGGTGAAGAGCAGTAAAGGACTGACATGATAGGCACTCTTCCTCTGGTCCTCACTGGGAACGGAAAGGGGAATGACGCCTATGAAGTCTTTGGCAGAGTTGCCAAAAAAAAAAAAAAACCCCACAAAGAAATCCCACAAAGATTGAACAACACATATGAAAATAAAACAAACAAACCTTAATGTAAAACTGGTGCTTACAATTTGATTACCCACAATTCAGCAATCTCCGCTTGAACCACTCGACCCATCTTGTAGTTTCATTTCTTGGATTTTTTAAATGGCTCTTGCCTGCCTGTGAGTCAACGACATTCTTGTCGAAACCAGAACAATGGGAGATGGTGTATTTTTAACGGGGAGGGACAGGGAAAGCGGGACTTGTCTTAAATCAAAAGGCAC